GAAGTGGCCAGGGAGAACAAAACTGATGTTGGAGTGAGACCAGCAGGGGAAGACACTTGTTTGGAATGGGGGCCAGGGGAAGCTCTCGGAGGAGGTGATGTTTCAGCAGATCAAGTCACTTAAAGATGAAAAGGAATGAGACTTGAAGGAAGGCTGCAGTAACTAGCCAGGCTAGATCATGAAGGACCTTTTCAGACATATAGAAAGACTTCAGAATTTATTCCAAGGGCCAGATGGGTTGATGAGGAAGCAAGGGCCTACTAAGCAGAGGAGTGAAGTGATCAGATTTGCATTTGAGAAATAACCCCAGTTTGGGAGCAGGATGCTAGATTCAAGCTTATACCCTGTGGGCCCCCACAACTCTTCCTTCTGTTACATTGTGCATCTCCTGCTTGGTTCACGAGAACCCAGATGTCTGCATCACAAGTATCTAAATTCTACAGTTGCTCAGAGCCTAGACTCCCACATTTCAAGAAAAAGCTAGTAGGTATAGTCTCTGTAGCTACCAAATTGGATTCAAAATTAAATCGTACGAGCTTCCAGATGTTCTTACTTCCCATCCTGACTTCATTGAGTTCTTTAATTGATGTCAGAATTCCTTGCCATAATCTACAGTCACAGAAGCTAAAATTTCTTAACTCAGAAACAAACAAACAGACAAACAGTGGCAGGTTTTTTTGGGGGGAGGGGCAGGTTGATAAATGTTATGAGTCTCATTTACACAGCAGATAAAGATACCTCTACCCAAGAAGTATAAGGAATGAAACAGAGCTTTTCTATGTAACCTTTGAAGCCCCATATACAAGGTAAATAAATAAATAAAACTGAGCAGGTAAATAAATAAATAAAACGGAAACTAAACACCCTGCTGTCTTCCTGCTCATCATGGTCAGGCAGTGATGGACAGCAGATTCGGTGGAGATAAGCCACAGTTCTGTCCAGACATAGGTGAATCAAATTCATCATTGCTTTCCACAGGCAAGAAAACCCCTCTGTGCTCATGTGGTTAACCCTGCCCTCCTCCATGGCAATTCCTCCTCAACTGTCAAAAGACCAAGACTTAAACTGCTTCTCCGCCCTCTCAGATCTAAGGTGATCTTACACAGTCTAGGCAGGTACTAGCTTCTGGGAAGCTTATTGAAAATGCGTAAATAGATGAGCGTCTATAATTCAACCATCAACAGTTGGACTTTACTAATTCAGGCTACAGACTTTCCGGGTTAAAGGAGGTTGCAGGTAGCAGATAAAAATAAGAGAGGCCATCCTTTTATTAATGAAGAGCTGGGCTCCCGTTACTGCAGCTGAGCCTTGCTTCACTGGGATTACATTTATTTTAAAGAATACTTCTGTCCAAAATATGCTGATATAAAATTAACCACTGTGATATCTCTTCATATCTCTCTTGCTTATGCTGGGTGTCCTGCTGCCCTCTCTGAGCACACCTTCTATTCCTTTCTGCTCCCAATCTCCGGCTTCTGTGTCATGGCCTCAGTGAGGACACTTAGCCCCCAGATCCTTATCTTTTCTCTAGGGGTTCCAAAATGATACTATTGATGGTACAAGTCATCTGGTATCTGGTGCTGCACCCAATACGACAATTCTATGATGTCAGCTCTGTTCTTATCCCTCTTGCATAGATGAGAATGTTGAGGTTTAGAGAGCTGAATGACTTGTCCAAGGTCACATAATCATAGCTGGTGGAGCAGAAATTTGAACCCGCTTAAATTCTAAACCAAAGTCAAAGCCCTACCCCCAAGCTGTTCTTCCTCCTCATGTTTACCCTGAGATCTTGTTCCATATTCCCAGCTGTCTCCTGGACATCTCTATCAAGATGTCCCCAGGAGCCACCAACTCAACTCATCCAAGCCTGACTAGATGTCTTTCCCAACCACTCCTTCACTGACTGGTCCAATCCATCTCCATTCTCCTAGACTAGACAATCTAGAATCATCGGGATGCTGAATCTTGGCTCTTTCTTCCTTCAAACCATACTTTTCATTTGTTGTTTTTCTCTATGCCTTCTGTAATACTCTAATACTCATGTAATACTCATGCCCTCATCTCTTGACCAGTGGACGGCGGCCACAACTATCCAGGTGACATATCCTTCTGATGAACAAAGAAGGAGGGAAAATGGGTGTCAGGACAGAGAAGCCAGAATCTCAGTCTCATTTCTGCCAATTTCAAGCTAGGAGATCTTGGTCAAGTTCTCACATTTGTGGGAAAGGGGTTACATCAGCAGCCCCACAGGGAGGTCATGAGGGTTAGAACTAATGCATGTGTAAGTGTACATTGAGATGTAAACACTTAAGAGAATCTCACTAAATAATATAGGTTCTCGCTCACCTCTTTGTGCCTCGGTTTCCCCATCTGTAAAATGGGGACATTATGTCCTCATAGGTTACTGGGAAAATTAAATGAGTCATCATTTGTGGTCAGTGAGAACAGCACCTGTCACACAGTGGATACCATGAAAGCATTGGCTGTCATTACCAGTTCAGCCTCCCCTGCCCTCTCTTCTTTAAAGGCACGGAGCAGCATTCACCTTTGCCTCCTTGGTGGGTACTTAATCAACATATTCATTTATTTCTCCTTCCCAACTAAGAGCTAAGCTAACTTGCGTATCACAGATTTCCCTCTCTAGCAGTTGGTTTGCTTGGCTGCACACAGTAGGGCCTCAAAAATACCAACTGATTATCTGTGAATGACTGTGCTTTCCTCACAGGGATTCTTTGGCTAACTATTTTGGTTTCCTATCCTATTCTTTTTCTCTTCTCTCTCTCTCTCTCTCTCTCTCTCTCTCTCTTTTGGGGGGGGACTTTTTATTATGGACGCAAGGTTTGTTTTCAAAACTTGTAAATGACTGGAGTGGGGAGATGGATGTCCTATTCTGCTGGAGTCGGGCAAACTGAATGACACAGCAGTCTCCACTGCTGTATAAGAAGCAAACAATTGCAGCCAGGCTTTGTCATTAATGTTCTCAGACAGCAGCAAATGACAAATGACTGGGGCTCTGAGGGCCTTTGCATCAAGAAGGGTGTCTTTCTGGGACTCAAGACCAGCTCTTCAAAGCTGAGTCTCTTGGTTTTGAACCCTAGTCTCTCAGCCTGTCAAGGTGGCATTTGTCCTGGGAAGTGCCCAGAATCTTTTCTGCTCTGCTTTAAGCTAAACCTTACTACATTATCTTTTATGGATTTAAAGATAAGCCACCAATCACGATGAACAATATTCATCTAAATACATCTTATCCCACATGCAAACCTCCTTATGTGACTCTCCATACCATTCACTTGTTCACAAGAAGCACTTTGTGCTGCACATCCAGGCAATTTGGTTGCTCTAGAGAGTTGCCAAGTCATTTATATCCCAAGTTAGTGAGTGAACTTGCTGTGAAAATGACCAAGGCTAGGTAAGAGAAAAGCTTGCATTTGTGGTGCCAGTGGGTTTCCACATTGGTATGTATTCACCAAGACCCCACTGTTTTTTTTTTTTTAAACGTTAGTGGCACCCTGGGTTCATTTTTAGCTTTCTATCAACCCTTAACTCACAGATTCACAGAAGTAAAAGAGAATTACAGTTTGTCTGGTCCAGGAATGGCAAATAGAATTCATCCCATTTAGAAATATCTCTAAATGATCAATGGTTGGTAGCTTCTAGAAGCACTGCATTGGGAAACATACTCAGGTCAAGCCATTGGCGATTACTGATAGTTGCCACGGGTGTGGTGACAGAGTAGGGCAATACACAGGCTACTTATTTGCCATCCTAGACTGTTTGACCCCTCTAGTCTGCAGATAAATAAGTTATATGATTCTTTCAAGATCATACAGATAGCATTGACAGATAAGCAACACTCACATTGCCAGTTGTACTGTCTCTGCTCCCCAGCTGTGGAATCTGTTTACTCCTCCACCCACACTCCATCACTGAACACAATTAGAAGATAAATCAGGATTATGGGGGAATGTGGCAGTGAGAATCATAGGCTTTGAAAAATTGAGTAAGACCAGGTCAGCAAATAGCAGAAAAAGCTAACCGTACCAAGCTGAGGTCATGCCGTTATTATTGTTATTATTGTGCCAGGGTCTTGCTGTGTGTCTTCCCTTTTTATAATCAAGAGTCTCTGAGCTCCTGGTGAAAGAGAAATAGATGAGTCCATTGTAGCAAAACATCTCTGGATGACATAGTCAGGAAGACTGAAGGGCAGTTTGTGGTACTCTTAAAGTGTGTGTGTATGTTTGCAAGTGCAAGATCGGCATCCATGTGCATCTGGAAAAGAATGGACACCAGTGCATGGCAAAGAACAGTGCCATATGCAACGGTTGCCTTGCTATACAACTCTAGCAGGCCACTGCGTTTTTTGTCTGCCCAACATCCATTTTGCTTCCTTGGATAACATGATCCTAATTTACTTTAAGTTCCCCTCTTTCACTCTCAGTTCCTTTGTTTTAGGTGGGGTTGACTTCACTCTGCTTCAGGACAAGGCGTGTGACCCAGACTTAGCCGAATGGAGCATTACAACCCAATGGACATGGTGCAGGGATGGATGCATGATCTAATGAGAACCAATGAAATTTGATTTCAAGAGTTTGTTGGCAGTATCAGGAGGAGATGGTATCTCAGGTGACTTCAGACTGGGGGAATGAAGTGGAACTACCAAGACCTCCGCAATAGGAAGCAGAGAGATATGTGACTGTCTAAGACTGAAGCCAATAGAAGGAAAATAGAAGCACAGGATGGACACAGATCAAAGCTGATGTCATCATTTGGGCATCAACACATAGCCATGCCTGAAGGCAAAGCCATCTCAGAAATATTTTAGTTACATGAACCAATAATTCCCATCCCCATAGCCTCCCACCATTTTTTGAGTTGGGTTTCCGTCATCTGTAACAACAAAAGAATCTTGGACAATAATTAACCAAAGTTCCATTTTCCACATAAGACATAGACTCCAGTGTTCCCCCTCAGACCCAACTTATCCCAATTAGCTGCGTTACCTGCAAGGGGCCCTGGATGTCTTTCCCCCCGACAATCACGAGTTCTGCCATGTCGTCCACATGGGGTGTCCGGGCGTGGATGAACAGAGTCTTGCCCACCGCTGTTATGTTTCTCAGGGCGACTAAACCACCTTCATTGTTCACCCTGAAGTATGGGCTTGAGACTTCATAGTGCAGCTTGTCATTTCCCTTACAATCACTGAAGTTCACTGATGAAAACAAAACCAAACAAACAAAAACAGAA